TCGCTTTGCAGCAGAACCGCCATCTCATGACAAGCTGGGGCAGAGCGGGGCAATGCCCCGCCTCAGACGTGCGGGACAGGACTCATTCATAATTCAGGAGCGAACGGACGGCCGGGTGAGACAGGCTGAAGCGCCTTCCGCAGCCTGCGACCGCGGTAGCAGCACTTACCCAGTCAAGGGAATCCGTGTTGAGGGTGTAGTTGGTGTCCTTCCAATCCGATTCTCCAGTGGGCTGAAAACTGACCTCCCGAATTGTGAAAATATCACTTTCTTCCTCTCCCTCGTGTCCAACCTGAAAGGGGAAATGAGATGGAAGACAGACAATTAGCTCTAATTACTGGACACCTTCAGCCGTCTCATCCCGAAGCTAGGAATATTACACTGCAGGCAAAACCCCAGACCGGTGCTAAAGCTGTGCCTCTCCCCTCCCAACGTGTGCCTGTGAAGACAAGCACAGACATGCACGAGACTGCAGGAAATCCCCTCAGAGGTCCCTCCGCCAGATCATGCCGCCAGAAGCAGCCTGATGGAAATCAGCAGCCTGATTTTTACAAAGATGCAAAAACCTCTTCTGTGTGGTTCTAAACCTGTCTTCCCACGTCTGTCTAACATTTGTCAGCTAGGACTGGCTGCACAAATGATCTGTCAAGGTTTACAAAATAAACCACAAAGACGAGTGTGCACCAAAGCTCTCAATTTTAAACCCCCCCCCCCCTTTTTTTTTAATCCCTACTTCTCTTTGTGACACCTCACAACAATGAGATTTGCAAGTTCCTGACACACTGTACTAAATCTATCTTGTTTTGGCCGTTCTGTTTACCCCTCTCAAGCTGCCATGCTGTTCAAGTTCAGCCACGCCTCCCTTCTCTAATGCAATTCAATAAACAAGCAGCTGATCAGAAACACCAGGTCAGGATGCGAGGAATGCAATGGAACATCTCCTCCCCAGAGAGTGTTCCTGCAAACGCAAAGCCTTTTTCTTGTGTGTTAAAAAAAAAAAAGAGGTAAGAGGAGACTGCATTTTCTGCAGATCCAGGAAACCAACAGCCTATGAAGAGCAGTTAGATTCAACAGCGGCACAATTACGCTACAGTCAAGCAGGAAACGCACGGTGAGTCACAGCCCGGAGTTGGCTACGGCTGACACACGACCGGTTTATTACCCACCTCGTCTTCGGGATAATGGCAGTCAAGAACGAGGGTCTGTTTTGTATCATCTTTTATTACTTCCACAACAAAGTTTGGAGTTGATGTAAGATCAGGCTAAACAGGAGGAAAGTTGCATCAGCACTGGAGTCTGAACAGGAGCCAAAGCGATGGCAGTACAGCCCACCAGCACAGCCCGTCCAGCGCAGGCTGCTCCCTGCCACCCTCTTTCTGGAGTCTCTGACCTGGCCGGGGCAACCCGAGCCTCCCCCGGCCTCGCCAATGGCCCTGCAGCCCCTGCTCTGCGGCTGGGCACACGGGTAAAACGGCACCTGGGAGCATCTGCCACCCCCTGACAACCCAGAGAGCCTGCGGCTCACCTGGACGGGTCCCCCCGAAGTGAGAGGAACTGGGAACTGACTCACACTGTTTCGACAGCAGGAGCTGCTCGTGTCTGCCCTCCTTCACGGAAGAAACGTGGCAGGGCACAGAGACTGCCAAACTCCCGTACACGTGCACAGAACCAGCGCACGGCGCCTCCCCAGCCGATACAGGCGCGCCCGGGAAGGGAAGCAACGCACAAATGTCCCCGGTATTGTCCCACCCAGCTGAGTGCAACGCGCTGGAATAAACGCTGCCATGCAGAAAGTGCAAGTTAACTGCCACAAACGGAGCAGCGGCGTTCCCGTCTCGTTCAGCATCAGTGTCACTGCCGATGAAGCCATCTGCCTCAAATCACACTGCTCAGTTACAGTTTTTACCGGTATTTTTACTAGCGGTCTTACTAAACAGGAGCGAGACACTTCTGACCAACAAAACCCCGCAAGCGAAGTCACGTGAATAGCTTTGTGTCTCGTTGACAACCAGCACCGTGAGTTGCGCTGGCCAAGTACCAAAGGCAGCATTTATTGCAGGGGGTTGCAAAGGCAGGAGATAT